ATCCAATATAGATTAAATAATCGTTAAATAATTTTTTTTTAACTATAATAAAATGCAAATTTTAAACATTTGATAAAAATGTGTGTTCAAATATCAATTAAGTTCTATCAAAAAAATTCTATCTATAACCGTACTTCAAGAATATCATTTAGAATGTGTTATTTAATATCGATTACGATATTTTATTTTCTTTTAATGCGAAGTATCAATTTTTTCTAAATTTTAAAACAATATATGTTACTGATATCAATACAAATGTTTTACCAAATAAATTCTGTACATATACTTGAAAGTCTATGAACTTCACGTTTGAAAAATATTATAATTTTTTTGGTCTCAAAATAAATTTTATAAACTGCTCTTTCTTCTTCTCCAATGTCTTTAATACATTTCTTCAATTTTTTGATACATAAATTCAGGGATATAATATTTCAATTTTTATTTGGCAATTATACGAGAACTCGTATATTCGTGTATATTACAAAATAATATATTACAACATAAATTAATCCCGGACCACGCATACAAAATGAGTTTCTGTGTTTTTTTAAATAAGTTTTAAATTTTCTTCAATCATATATAGTGCTTTTCTTCTTGATTCTAGTGTTTCATAAAATTTATACAAATTGTAGTTGAAAAACTAACGTAGAAAAATAAACGAAAAAGCGCTTTAAAATTGAAAGAAATAAGGAATCCACTTTTTACAAGAAACGTGGATAGGAGTTAAATGTTGAAAGTATTTTAAATTTTCACTTATTTACATATTTTACAAATCAAAATCGTTCAACAAAACACAACTGTACATGCAATCTTAATAAATAATAGATATGTTACATCTATCTTTTATAAACATTCTTGAATAATAAATCAATATTATAATGTCCATATTACTGCTCGACGGAAACCGCGGAAAGTGATTTTTTCCATCAGAAGGAAATGTAAAAAATTCTCTAATAAGTCACGTATAAATCATAATTATTTGACAATTTTTTACATTTCTAAAAGAATGAGGGAAAGGAAAGAAATAAAGCAAGTGTTTAAGTGAAGCAATTTAAAAGCATTAAAGCTTTAAATAAAATACAAAATTTGCACAATTAATCAAAATGCTACAAAAAATTCAAAATAATATTAGTTACGAACAAGCAAACGAAATGTTAATATGGCTTATTATACATTTTTCAAAATTCTAATTAATAATAATTACATTTATATTTATATATATATAAGTAGTATGTGAGCAGCCATGGAGTCAAAACAAATCCTCTCCACGTCTCCCTCCGGCGCCATGAGCGTGGCCTAGACGGGTCAGTCAGGAAAAGGGCGTGCTCTGATTGGTCGAGGAGTGAGGGGTGGGAGTAATAGGGTAATTAAATGGTGTGTTCTGATCGGTTCGC